CTTTGAAAAGCAAGCAAACCATCTGAACTGAAAACAAAATGTGAAACTATCAGGTTTTCAAGCATTCTAAGCCAGCACAGTGACTTAGCTACAGTAAAACTGCGGCAGGATGTTCAGAACAATGGAGCCATCTGTCGGGGGTCATCAGGGAGGACACTGATAGAATCTTCTGCTTTGCCACATAAAAGACATAGCATGGTGTATTCCTAGAACAAGACAAAATGCATATTTACCCTTGGGAGACCCAGGAGCTCACTTGATAGCTTTGGTTCTGTTTTGTAAGAGCTTTTACCTGCAAACTGGCATAAACATGCTTTCTATATCAGTTTCTTCCAAAAACATCAGCACTGCCTTAGTTTTATGCCACACCTTGTATCTCCAGAGCCTTTTATACAAAGGAAATAGTCTGAAGTTCCACTCATTACCTCAAAGCAGAGAGCTTCATGTTGACCTCCACAAATTACATAGAAATGATCAAGTTGGGGTGGGAGGTTGAATGGAGAGTGAGAATCCAAATTTGACTTCAAGACCTTTTGGTTTTTCATTTCAACTTGTAAATATTTATCATTTACTATACACAGAGAACAAGGTGCTAGGGGAGCTTTAAAGATGAATAATAGAGTTCTTAACTTCATGACATCTGTAGTACCGTAAGAAAAATAAAACACACATGTAAAATGGTATACAAAATAGAATATGTAAAATATGCATAAAAAGAGATATAAAGCAAAGTTAAGCAAAGGAGAATTTATTAAGTACCTACTATGTGCTAAGCACTGTGCTAAGTGCTGCCTGCAAGGGGCTCACAATCTAATAAGGGAGAAAACATGTAAACAACTACGTACATAAATAAGCCATATTTAGGATAAACTGGGAGTGATCTTAGAAGAAGGCACTAGCATTAAAGTGGGGCAAGGAAAGGCTTTTGTAGAAGGTGGAATTTTAGCTGAGACTCGAAGGAAGCCAGGGAAGCCAGGAGGTAGATGCTTGTTGACTAAGGTGAGGTCAGAGGAAGGAAAATAATTTCTGAGTAAGGGCAGAGAACAAAGAACATTTTGTAGAGGATGTAATATTTGAGATGAACAAGGATGGGCTGGATTTCAAAAGGCAGAGATAGGAGGAGTGAAAGGCATTCTCTGTGTTCTATAGAGCAGAATAAACAAGGGCAGAAAGCACCAGACACTGAGTAATCTAGTTTGGCTGAAGCATGTCGGAGCACGGAGAAGAGAAGCTGGATAGGTAGTGTGGAGTCAGATTGTAAAGAGCCTGTAATTCAGAGCTAAGGAGTAAGAACTTTCTTTAGGAAGGGTCACTTGCAGGGTTTTGAGCACAGGATGGACACTATTAGTTGTGTGTATAAGAACCATGAATCTAGTAGGTGTATAAAGAATAGACCACAGAAGGATGAGTCTGAAAGTGGGCAACTGGTCAGAAAGTTATTACAATACTCCAGGTAAGAGGTCCTTAAATAGGGTGATGTCAGAGGGAACAGAAACAAAGGTGCTGATGTGAGATTATTAATAACCAAAGATTTGGGGAGATCCAGAGTTATCCCCTTTTTCTAAAGTCCTAACTTTAAAAAGTTCAGTCTCTTGAAGGACATTGCTGAGGATGAGATTGGACTAGATTTCTTGTTCAAAACCCCATGTAGGTGGAGTAGCCATTTTTTGCTCAGGCTTGAGTGGGGCACAAATTCTTTTAATAGACTGCCCAAGGCTGGGGGATAGTCTGGGTACAGAGATAAGTCTCTCTGTCCAAGGGTGATATGATATCACTCTCAGCTCCTCACTGTAATATTCTTTCTCTCATTAACTGCTAAACAATCAGAGTTGATTGCCACTCTTCTTCCAAAAGAACACAAAAGCCCTAAGCCCAGCTGCCAGCGAAATGACCATCCTTTTATCAATAAACGTGCTGGTCATTAACAAAATGATTAAATTGCACAGAAACTATGTCTCTCTCTTTTTTTAAGGCAATTGGGGTTAAGTGACTTGCCCAGGGTCACACAGCTAGTAAGTGTCTAGTGTTTGGTCTGAGGCCATATCTGAACTCAGGTCCTCCTGACTTCAGGGCTGGTGCTCTATCTGATGTGCCACCTAGCAGCTCTGAAACTATGTCTCTTGACAATTTTAAATCACCCAGATGGGAGACATATTGCAGAGGCAAAAACAATAGGCCCTTGCATTTGATCAGATGTGGGAAGTGTGAGAGCTTGGTTGGGTAACAGTGTCATTAAAAGAAATAAGGAAGTCAGAGAGGGAGCTGCTCCTTTGGAGCTTGACTGAGCTTGTGGAAACTGAGGTTATATTCAACCAGTTAATCAAAACACCAATAAATGTTTATTAGGCATCAATGGGGTAGGTAACACAAAATGAAAAAATGTGCTTCTTGCCTTAAGAAGCTTATAAGTATTTTTTTAAATAACTAAGAATAAATTATGTGATACTGATATTGCAAAAGAGGTTTAGAGAATGGAACTATTATGATAGACTAGAATAGTAATTCAGAGCAACATTTCTAGGACTTGGTTTGGGTCTAATAATCAGACAAATATGAGCCCTTCCATCAGTAAGCTGGCTTTATGTGTCGCTGAAAAACTGCCAAAATCAAATTTCTATAAGTCAGTACCTAAAATGGGGGATATATGATCTTAATTTTAAAACTGGAAGAGACCTTAAAGGTCATTTTTACAGATTTGTAGAGGTGCTCATTTTACAGATGAGAAAATTGAGGCCCAGAAAGTGATTTTCCTAAGGTGGTGGTGGTGGTAGTAGTAGTAGTACTAGTAGTAGTGGTAGGATTTGAATCTAAGTCCTCTGACTCCAAATTCAGCATTCTTTTTTTTTGCTTTTAGGCAATTGGGGTTGAGTGACTTGCCCAGGGTCACACAGCTAGTAAGTGTCAAGTGTTTGGTCTGAGGCCGGATTTGAACTCAGGTCCTCCTGACTTCAGGGCCAGTGCTCCATCCACTGCGCCACCTAGCTGCCCTACAAATTCAGCATGCTTTCCACTGATGATAAGATAATTGTCTTCAAATATTTGAAGGGCAGTCATAAGGAAGACAAATTACCTCTGTTCTGTTTGGCACTACAGGGTAGACATAGGAGAATAGGTGAAAGCTGCAAAAGGGCAAATTTAGACTTGGTGTCAGGAAAAACTTCTTAACAGTTATAAGCTGTTCAAAATCAGAATGGGCTACTCTGAAAGTAGCAGGTTCCCCAATCTTGGAGGTCTTCCAGCAAAGGAAGGACAATCACTTCTCAGGTATGTGGTAGTGGGAATTCTGTTTTGAGTATGGGTAGATCAGATGGGAACTAAAATCCCTCCTAACTCCAAAATTCTGTAGTTCTATAAAGGTGATACTAAGGTTCTAAGAGTGAGAACCATTTAGCAGACGCCTTTGGTGAATCTGTGAAGAACCTTCTTGTAAAGTGAACAATCCTCCCAAATATAGATTCTGTAGGTTTTCACATACGTGTTTTGCTAAAAGCAAGGCAAGTCTGCTTTTCCGGACCTAACTTAAGCCTAACACTTGTTCCAAAAATAAGACGCTGTTTTTCGCTTATTTAGCTGTAAGTGTCAGGTTATCAAAATTTCTATCGTGCTTTTACTAGAAATAAGACAATAGGGCTGCTCAACACTATATACCTTCTTTGGCAGCTTCTTTATCACAACTTTAGGTTTGACATGCAGACACAATAATGTCTCTGTGGCTATGTAGAGGCCAATACTACAACTACAATAGTTGTCTATGACAGGCAGACAAATTAAAAAAGGTACATTAATAGTCACATGAACAAGCATAATGTAATATCCTTCAAAGATAGCAATCCTGGCCCATGAACAGTAGGGCATATGCTTTGACTTGTTTTTCTAGCTTTGCGCAAATTCATTCACATCCAGGGCTCTCCTCTCAACTTAGACATAAAGATGCAGATACGAAGAAAATATATCTTCTTTTTAAAGTTTATCTCAGGGTTGGCAGTCTGGTAAAGACTACGGACTTCTCAGAATAATATTTTTAAATAATTGAAAGAAATCATACATCTCAGTTTAAGGTTAATGAAAATAAAGATGTAATTTTTTTCATCCAAATTCACAGACCCCACTTTAAGAACCCATGGTTTATCTGAATGCCTTAGATGAAGGCTTAGATGGCATACATATAAAATTTGTGGACATGATGCTGGTAAGAAGAGCTACCATGTTAGATGACAATACTGGGAAACCAAAAGATCTTGACAGGCTAGAACAATGAGCAAAATATAAGAAGATGAAATTTAATATGGATAAATGTTAAATCCAACACAAATAAAAAACAAATCAATGACACAGCTATCAATGGAGAGAGGAATGGTTAAATAATAGCTCACAAAAAAAGGACCTGGGGGGTTTAGAGGACTAAAAACTTTTGGTAGCAGCTAAATAAAGTAACTAAAAAAGTTATCTTGTCCTTACCTGCATTAACATAAATATCAAGTCTAGAACGAGGGAGATTACAGTCCTGCTCTAATCTGCTTAGGGTAATATGTTTAGTTCTGGACACCATATCGTAGGAAGGTCATTGTTAAACTGAAGAGCACCTAGAGAAGGATAACCAGGAGGTTGATAAGACTTAAAATGAAGTTTTAAGAGGATTAGACAGAAGAAAGTGTGGAGAAGAGTAGACTCAAGGTGGGACATCATAGCAGGACTAATGGGTGGAAACTGCAAAGAGCATTTTAAACAACTAAAAATTAGAGCCGTCCAAAAAGTACAATGGGCAGCCTCAGGAGGTAATGAATTCTTAGTATCCTAGGGCTTCAAGTGAAGGCTACACAATCACATTTGGGGATGATGAGAGAGAAGATTCCTGCTCAGGAATAGGTGGGATATGCGCTTTCTGAGGTCCCCTTGAGACTCTGTAAATCTGTGATTCTATCTGCTAGTATCTTGTAAGTACTGTGCCTAGGTTTTTATAGATATTAAAAAAAAAATTTCCAAATACATAAGATATTTACCTGATAGTCATCCATGACACTGAATGTATATTCATGCCTGGCTACTATGTGATGACAATTCTTACACACATCTGCAAGACAAATGGGAAACATAACACATTATTCATTTGCCTTAGAACAGTAACAGTCTTCTCTTTAGATGGCAATTGCTTTAAAAGAATCTTAGCTAAATTTGTCATATCTACCTTTATTTAAGAACAAAAAGAGATGTACCATTGTACCATTTTACAATTAAAGATCTAAAATTGTGGCCTGAAAGTATATATATAATTCCCACTCAAAGCCATAAGGCAATCACTGAATACACATTTAAACGTAAGTTTCAAACTCACAGTACTTGTACAAATATACAAAAGATATTTTATTTTCAAAAATGAGATGGTGTTAAACTATAAGTTAAGAGCACTGTTGAAATGTAAAATGGATAATTTTGATTGCTTTAAATTAAAATTTTCTTGTATAAATAAAATAAATGAAACCTATGCAGCTTAAGAATGGAATGCAGAAAATCGGGAAATAACTTTCACAGACAATCTCTCAGACAGAATGTGATTGGGTTGGAATATTGCTGTGATATAGGAAATGATGAGTTGGTTGATTTAGAAAAACATGGAAAGACTTAGACCTATGAAAGAAGATGCTGTCCACCTTCACAGAAATAAATGACAAGTGGAAATAAGCATAGTATGGTCTTACATATATGTGTATGTTTATAGATGTCTATGTATGTGTGTATATATATGTAAACACACACAAACACATATCTATATGCACACACACACATACATATTCAGGAGAGGAAAAAATAAAGTAAAAAGTACACAGCAGATATCAAAAGAAAACCTACAAGGAAGCAAAGAAAAGCTGGGCAGTTTTGAAAAACAATGTGTAGTGTTTATTATACATAGGCTTTCTTGAAATGGAAACTGTTTTGTACCGAATCCTCTCTTGTATTCTGCTATGTACGTGGCAATTTTTTTCTTTTCTCATTTTGTATTTAAGTTTAAAATAAATTAAAAAATGAGATGGTAACTATACTTCTGCAATGAACTAAAAATAAGTAATCAGAATTAGGGTTGGGTAAATTTGATTTACATCACAAATTTAATGGTTAAAAAAAGTTTAAAAGGATACACAAAGGAAAAGGAGAGCTTTAAAAAATTATACTACCTTACCACTTCCCTGGATCTATTTTAAAGGGTTGCTACCCATCCCTCCCCCATCCCCAAATCCTTTATTGAGAGTAATATGTCACTCCAATTATTTGGTTACCCTGAAAATATGGGACAATTAAGAACCTGGAAATAATCCTCCCAAAAAGACTCTCAATGGGTAAAAGATTGTCATAAAATTCATGCAATAAATTCATATACTTGACTCAGGGGAGAGACCCTATGACCCTCATTTTGGGACTATTTCTTTTCACTTTACACATAATTGTCATAAGTTAAGTTATTTGTTTTTCTTTAAAATTTGGTTTCCCCAAGTACAGAATACTAGAAGGAACAGACTAGAAGAGATGGATGAGATCCTAACAGAAGCAGGTCCACTGCCAGTGTGGGAAAAGTGAGGAAGGTAACAGAAAAATTAAAAAGGGCATATAATAACTCAAAACATACAGCAACCCAGGGCAATCAACCCTACAGTATAGTACCATAACCAGCTAATTTGTAACTGAGGCCAAAATATAAAATAATGCCCCACTATTCTAAGGGCAAGGTGTGCTCAGGACAGTAAATTAATATTTTATGTTTTCTGTCCCCTCAACTTTGACTCTGTAAGCAAATGCCTCACCTGCCTCATGTTTGTGAAGGCTTCAATTATCTGGGAAATCGCCTCATGTAGAATCAACCAATCAACAAGCATTTATTAAAGAACCTACTATATCCCAGTACTACATGCTGGACATACAAAACAAAACAAAAAAAATGAAACAATCTTTACTCTCAATGAGTTTACATTCTGTTGAATAATAATAGCAGTTCACATTTAGATAAACTCTACAGTTTTTTTTTCCTTAAATAAAAGGTTTATTTGCTCTAGGATCAGGGTGGGTGCTCAGTCAAAGAGACCAAAGCCCATGTCTTCATCAGACTCCTCTTTCTTCTCTTCCTTCTCCTCCTCCGCAGCAGGGGCTGTACCACCAACAGCTGGGGCAGCAGAGCCAGCACTGGCAGCAACAGCGACTGCACCACCAGTGGGCGATGGAGGCCAGCTTACTGCTCCCCTGGGCGATCACATCTTCTATGTTCTTGCCACTCAGCTCACTGCTGGCCTTCTTCAACCGCTCGTCCATCTCGATGCCCACACTGTCCAAGATCCTTTTCAGGTCCTTGGAGTTTGGAGAATCATTGCCGCCGAGGACAGGCCGGCTAGGAGGTAGCTGCTTCGTAGCGCACCTCGGCGGTCTGGGCTCTACTCGGTCCGGTCTGGTGGTCTTGGCCTACCACTGCAGAAATGGTGGGATTGGCGGTGGGTGCAAGTCCAACCTCGGTGGAGTCAAGCAAGGCTGGGACTTCTCTACAGTTTTCAAAGGGCTTTCCTTACAGCAATTTTGGAGGTGAACAGTCCTATTTTATAGGTGAGGACCATTTTCCTCTTAAAAGCTAAACAAAGCACTTCACATAACACAAAAACTTAAACCTAAATTTCTATTTACATAATAGATCAGCTTAATTAAACTAAAATCTACTAACCAATGGTCACTATTAAGAAAACAAAGCCTGCTTACGATCATAGGTAACTATTTCTTCTCCATCTTCCTCTTTCATGGATTTGTTTGCAATCAGCATAAAGTCCCGTTTATTGCACATTGCACAGCCTATGTAGTTCAGCAAAAAAGATCCATTCTCCAGGCAAGTGTTACCCTAAAATACCAAAAATTAAAACGAAAATAAATTATTTTTAACCTGAGGTATTACAGCATTTAGATATACTATTTAAAATAACAATAATACATTTTCACTTCAAAATTACTAGTGAAAAAATTGTCAATGAACTTGGAGACAAGGCTTTTAGACAAAATTATGACCTCAAATTTGCTCACTTGAAGACTGTATCAAACAACATTCCAAAAAGGGCCAGGACCCTCTATATCAAACTGGAGTTCAGAGAATTAGCTTTCCAAGTATCTAAAGGATGCAGCTTTACATGTAAGAGGATCCCAACTGTACCTTGCCACTGATGAAATATCATAATATATTGCTTGTGTGACCTTAAACAGTATCACTTAATCTTTCTGAGCCTCAGTTTCTTAATTTGAAAAAATGAAGGGATTGGATTATGTGATCTTTAGGGTCCTTTCCTGCCCTGAATCTTTGATCCTATAAGCAATATGCTAAAAAAGTCACTAAAAATGGAACATGTAGTTAATACTCTGTAATATTAACTGAGATAATCCAAGAGAATCAATTAAAAAATTAGAAATAATTAATGACTTTAGCAAAGTAGCAGGACACAAAATAAACCCACATAAATCATCAGCATTTCTATGTATATTGCCAACAAAGTCCAGCAGCAAGAGATAGAAAGAGAAATCCCATTTAAGACAACTCTAGAGGGGGAAAATAGATATTCAATGAGATAGAGGACTTTCAAGCATTCTTGAGGAAAAGACCAAAGCTGAATAGAAATTCTGACTTTCAAATATAAGACTCAAGAGAAACATAAAAAAGTAAACAGGAAAGGGAAATCATAAGGTACTTAATAAGGTAAACCGTTTACATTCCTACATGGGAAGATGATACTTGTAACTCAAAAACTTTCTCATTATCAGGACAGTTAGGATTATATATAGACAGGGCACAGGTGTGAATTGAATATGAAGGGATCACATCTAAAAAAAAAATTAAGGGGTGAGAAAGAGGAATGCACTGGGAGAAAGGGAAAGGGAGAGGTAGAATGGGGTAAATTATCTCACATAAAAGAGGCAAGAAAAAGCTTTTTTAAGTGGAGGAGAAGATGGGGGAAGTGAGAGGGGGGGAAGAAGTGACTGAAAGTTACTCTCATCAGAACTGGCTCAAAGGGGGAATAGCATATACACTCAACTGAGTTACAGAAATCTATCTTACCCTATAGGAAAGTAGGAGGGGAAGGGATGAAAAGAAGGGAGATAAGAGAAGGGGGGGGGATACTTCGAAGGGAGGGTAGACCCGGGGAGGGGGTGGTCAGAAGCAAAACACTTTTGATGAGGGACAGGGTGAAAGGAGAGAGGGAATAAATGGGGGTTAGGTGAAACATAATGGAAGGAAATACATTTAGCAATCCTAACTGTGAAAAAAATTTTGAAGCAAATTTCTCTGATATATTTCTCATTTCTCAAATATACAGAGAACTAAGTCAAATTTATAAAAAACAAGTCATTCCCCAGTTGATAAACGATCAAAAGATATGTTTTCACATGAAATAATCAAAGCCATCTATAGCCATATGAAAAAATGCTCTAAATCACTACTGATTAGAGAAATGCAAATCAAAACAATTCTTAGGTACTACCTCATAGAGTGGCTAATAGGACAGAAAAGGAAAATGACAAATGTTGGAGACCATGTGGGGAAAATGAGACATTAATATACTGTTGGTGGAGTTGTAAACTGATTCAACGATTTTTCTTTTCTTTTTTTTTTTGGTGAGGCAATTGAGGTTAAGTGACTTGCCCAGAGTCACGCAGCTAGTGAGTTTTATGTGCCTGAGGCTGGATTTGAACTCAGGCCCACCTGACTCCAGGGCTCGTGCTCTATCCACTGTGCCACCTAGCTGCCCCTCGACTATTTTTTTTTTTGCTAGGCAATGGGGTTAAGTGACTTGCCCAGGGTCACACAGCTAGTAAATGTTATGTGTCTGAGGCCGATTTGAACTCAGGTCCTCCTGAATCCAGGGCCGGTGCTCTATCCACTGTGCCACCTAGCTGCCCCCCCAACTATTTTTTAGAGCAATTTGGAACTATGCCCAAAGGGCAATACCACTACTAGGTATGTATCCCAAAAGAGATAAAAAACTCACTGAAGAGAAGAATTCCTTAAAAAGTAAAATGGACGGGGCAGCTAGGTGGCACAGTGGATACAGCACTGGCCCTGAAGTCAGGAGGACCTGAGTTCAAATCCAGCCTTCAGACACATAAAACTCACTAGCTGTGTGACTCCTGGGCAAGTCACTTAACCCCAATTGCCTAAAAAGAAAAAAAAACTACAAAAAAAAAAGTTAAATGGACCAAGTGGAAAAGGAGGTACAAAATCTAATAGAAGAAAACATCTCTTTAAAAATTGGAATGGGTCAAATGGAAGCTAATAACTCTATAAGAGCGAAAGAATCAGTCAAACAGAAACAAAAGAATGAAAAAATACAAGAAAATGTAAAATACCTCGTGGGTAAAACAACTGACCTGGAAAATAGATCCAGGAGAAACGATTTAAAAATTATTGGTCTAACTGAAAATCATGATGAAGAAAAGAGCCTGGACAACAGGAAATCATCAAAGAAAACTGCCCTGAGGTCCTAGGAGCAGAGGGTAAATCAGTCATCAAAACAATCTACTGATGACCCCCTGAAAGAGATCCCAAATTGAAAATGCCAAGGAATATAGCAGCTAAATTCCAAAATGACCAGACCAAAGAGAAAATACTGCAAGCAGCCAGAAGGAAACAATTTAAATACCATGGAACAACAGTCAGCATTATGCAAGACCTTACAGTTTCTACATTAAAAGTTCGGAGGAGAAAAATATTCCATAAGGCAAAGGAGCTTGGATTACAACCAAGGATCAACTACACAACAAAACTGAGCATAATCTTTCAGGGGAGGAGATGGACAAGTCAACAAAATTTAGGGGACTTCCAAACCTTCCTGATGAAAACACCAGAGTTCAACAGAAAATTTGACCTTCAAATATAAGACTCAAGAGAGGCATAAAAAGGTAAACAGGAAAGAAAAAAACCCCCAACATATTATTAACAAGGGAAAACTGTTTATATCCCTGCAAAGGGAAGACGACACTTATAACTCTTAAGAACTGTAATGTCATTATGACGTTTAAAAAAGGATATACTCAGACAGAGAGAGTGGGTTTAAGTTGACTTTGATGTGATGGTAAAAAAACCTAATTAAGTGGTGAAAAGGAATTGTACTGGGAGAAGAAGAAAGGAGGAGGCAGACAAGGATAAATACATCACTGAAAAGGCACAAAAACCAAATACAGTAGAGGGAAAGAAGGGAAGGAGATGAGCATTGTTTGAACCTTACTCCCAGCACATTTGGTTCAAAGAGGGAATAACATAATCAGTTAAGTATAGAAATCTAACTTACCCTATAGGAAGCGGAAAGGGTAAAGAGAAAAGAAAAGGCTAATAGAAAGGAGGGTAGACTGAGGGAGGTGGTGGTTGAAAGTAAAAAACAAAAAGGAAAAGGACCTATATATACAAACTATTTATAGCAGCTCTTTTCTGGTGGCAAAGAACTGGAAATTGTGGGGATGCCCACTAATTGGGGAATGGGTGAACAAACTGTGATGAAATACGATTGTGCTATAAGAAATTATGAGCAGAATGCTCTCAGAAAAACCTGGAAAGACTTACCTGAGCTGAGGCAAAGTGAAATGTACTGTGAATGAAGCAACAGCAATATTGTAACATCAGCTGTGATACGATGATCTAAGACAACTCTTCAGAGGACTTACAATGAAAAATGCTGTCCATCCCCAGAGAAAGAACTGACAGTGTCTGAATACAGACTGAAGTATAGTTTATTTTATTTTATTTTTCTTGAGGTTTTTTTTTTCCGGTCTGTTTTCTTTTACAACATGACTAATAGGGAAATGTTTTGCATGATTACACATGTATAACCTATATAGAATTGCTTGACTTCTAAATGGGGGAAAGGGGTGGGGAGGGAGGAAGGGAGACAATTTAAAACTCAAAGTTTCAAAAATGAATGTTAAAAATTGTTTTTATATGTAATTGGGGGAAAATAAAATACTAAATAAAAAAAAAACTCCAGAAAATATAAAACACTTGGGAGTCTACTTGCCAAGACAAACCCAAGAATTATATGAAGACAACTTAAAAACTGGAAAAATCTTAATTGCTCATGGGTAGACCAAGCCAATATAATAAAAATGACGATTCTACCTAAATTAATCTATTTATTTAGTGCCATGTCAATCAGACCCCCAAAAAATTATTTTGTAGAGTTAGAAAATATAATAACAAAATCCATCTAGAAGAACAAAAGGTCAAGGATATCAAGGGAATCAATGAAAAAAAATGTGAAGGAAGGTGGGCTGGCTGTACCAGATCTCCAACTGTATTATAAAGAGGTAATTAATGAAACAATCTGGTATTGGCTAAGAAATAGAACGGTAGGTCAGTGGAATGGATTAGATACACATTACATTATAGTAAATGACCATAGTAATCCAGTATATGATAAACCAAGCTTTCGGAACAAAAACTCATTGACAAAAACTGCTGTGAAAACTGCAAAAGAGTATGGGAGAAACTACGTATAGATCAACATTTCTCACACTATATACCAAGGCAGTATTCAAAGTCTAGTCTCCCTGACTCTCAAATCCAGGGTATTATCCACTCTGCCATGCCTTCTAATTGTACTTGTATGGTACTCAGTTGAACTTCAGAATAACTCTTCTCTTAGTTCTTAATATAATCACAACTCAGTCAAATATGATTTCTGGGCCAAAAAGGTTCCTAATTTTAGGTGATGATTTGTAGGGAAGAGAAAGCAAGAGGTCTATAAACCATGAGATAGGACACAAATACAAAACTGAAGGGAGTCTGTTTGCTATATATATAAAACACTATTTGTGGTAATGCTTCACAAAAATAATTTAGGCATTTGACTCAAGGGAAGTTTT